TGGTGGCTTACGAGCAAAACGGCATGACATACTACGTGGATTCCGCCTCACTTTACCCAGCGCCGCCGGTAGAGAATTATGCTCAGCCTAGCTATGCCGTTCCTGGAATGGGAGGCATGATGACACCCGGCCCGGACGGCGCCTACTACTACCCTCAGCAGATGCAGCCCGCGCCATTCTACCCGCAACAATAGACGACTAGATCCTTGCCGCCCACGTCCCATCTCACAATCGCTCTGCTTATCGGTTTTGCATTTCGACATGTTACGTCCAACTATACAGTTCCTTCCTTGCAGTCGAGCATGGCGCATCTGGCTTTCGATTGGGATATTTGGTGTTCTAGGCGAAGCACATTCGACAGCGTAACTTGGTTCTTTCCCTCGGTCACGACAGCAAGCGACACAAAAACATTCATATTATCAAATGTACTGGCGGGCATCGGTCTTTTCTCAGCTGCTTACGATGTGACTCTTTTACACAAGAGATGATCTGCTTACGTTTGCATGGTGTTCTGCGTCTTGCGTTCGGTGGCTGTATCTTTCTTAGTCTGGATATTTCTACTCTGTCCTAATAAAGCCAAACTTTGATTCCTCGTCATTTGATATTCCGGTCTTCTCCTGGCTTCTTGCATTATGGCAAGCAGCACTGTATCGGGGTGGGAGGGACGTCCAGCAGGCGAATGCCTGTGCAAGGCTTTGTTGCTCGCCAACTACTTAGATAAATAAATATTGGTTTCACCACCACGATCTCGCGATGGCGAACAACATCAGATCTCATTGTTGCTTGTATTGCTTGTGAATTGCTTTTAGATGGTGAATGGGTGTGGTTGGCATGGATGCAGTAGCGGGGCTTGGCGCGTCAAGACGCTAAGAGCTGGCACTGGGTTCGCCGCATCATCATCGCGCAGGCGTTCGAGGCAGCTCTCGCTCCATCAACCTCCATCTCGCATAACCCGCCCCCATCGAATTCCGGGACAAGCACACCTCCCCCGAAGTCTTGTCTCCCGATCCGCCATCATGGCGCCCAACAAGGACACCATGTTCCGCTCCGCGGACATGTCCTTGACCCAGCTGTACATTGCCAATGAGATTGGCCGCGAGGTCGTCTCAGGCCTCGGAGAGCTTGGTGTCATGGACTTTAGAGATGTGAGCACAGGCAGACGTGTTCTGGAGCTTCTCTGGCAGCTCTGGGACGGATGTGATGGCATGGGAAGCTGACAAGATGTGCTAGCTCAACGCCGATACGACCGCCTTCCAACGTACTTTCACCCAGGAGATTCGCCGCCTCGATAACGTGGAACGCCAGCTCCGCTACTTTCGCGCCCAGATGGAGAAGTCGGACATCTCGATGCGCTCCATCTACGACTTCAACAACCCCTTCACGGCGCCTTCCGCCTCCGAGATCGACGAGCTCGCGGACAAGAGCCAGAGCTTGGAGCAGAGAATCTCTTCGTTGAACGAGAGCTACGAGACACTGAAGAAGCGCGAGGTGGAGCTCACAGAGTGGCGATGGGTGTTGAGAGAGGCTGGTGGCTTCTTCGACCGGGCCCGTGGTCAGACTGAGCAGATTAGGGACTCTGTTGATGATGACGACGCGCCGCTGCTCCAGGATGTTGAGCAGAACGGACAGGGTGACACGGGTGCCGAGCGCTCTTTCACCGTCATGAACATCGGTTTCGTCGCTGGTGTCATTCCCCGCGAACGCATTGCCGCGTTCGAGCGCATCCTGTGGCGTACTCTCCGCGGTAACTTGTACATGAACCAGTCGGAGATCCCCGAGGCCATCATCAACCCGGAGAACAACGAGGAAACCAACAAGAACGTCTTCATCATCTTCGCGCACGGCAAGGAGATCATCGCAAAGATCCGCAAGATCTCAGAGTCGCTCGGCGCCGACCTCTACAGCGTGGACGAGAACAGCGAACTCCGCCGCGACCAGATTCGCGAAGTCAACACCCGCCTGAGTGACTTGGCTAGCGTCCTGAAGAACACCAAGTCTACCCTCGATGCCGAGTTGACCGCGATAGGACGCAACCTCGCAGCTTGGATGGTCGTCATCAAGAAAGAGAAGGCTACCTATGAGACGCTGAATAAATTTTCCTACGACCACCAGCGCAAGACGCTCATTGCTGAGGCATGGGCCCCTACCAACTCCCTCGGTCTGATCAAGTCGACCCTGTCAGATGTCAACGAGCGTGCTGGCCTGTCAGTTCCCACCATTGTCAACCAGATCAAGACCACCAAGACGCCACCAACATACTTCAAGTCGAACAGGTTCACAGTGGGTTTCCAGACCATCATCGATGCCTACGGAACGATCAAGTACCGCGAGGTCAACCCTGCGCTGCCAGCCATCGTTACGTTTCCCTTCATGTTCGCTGTCATGTTCGGTGATGCCGGACACGGTGTCATTATGCTTCTCGCAGCTTGCGCCATGATCTACTTCGAGAAGCGACTTGAGCGCAGCAAGCTCGATGAGTTGTTCTCCATGATGTTCTACGGTCGTTACATTGTCTTCATGATGGGTCTCTTCTCCATCTACACCGGTCTTCTATACTGCGACGCTTTCTCTCTCGGACTGCCCTGGTTCAAGTCTATGTGGGTGTGGGACAACGACGGCAAGGGCCCAACCTCGAGCCGTGTGGAAGGTTACACCTACCCCTTCGGTCTGGACTACCGCTGGCACGACACCGAGAATGATCTGCTGTTCTCCAACAGTTACAAGATGAAGCTCAGTATCTTGCTCGGTTGGACCCACATGACCTTCTCCCTGATGTGGTCGCTTGTCAACGCTCGCTACTTCAAGACCAAGATTGACATCTGGGGTAACTTCGTTCCCGGTATGATCTTCTTCCAGTCCATCTTCGGTTACCTCGCCTTTACCATTGTGTACAAATGGTGCATCGACTGGCCTGCGCGTGGCGAGAGCCCGCCCAGTCTGCTCAACATGTTGATCTACATGTTCTTGAGTCCCGGTAATCTCGAGCAAGGCACCCAGCCGCTCTACCCGCATCAAGCAGGCATTCAAGTGGTTCTCCTATTGTTGGCGCTTGCTTGCGTTCCCGTTCTTCTGTTCCTCAAACCGTTCTACCTCCGCTACGAGCACAACAAGGCTCGCGCAATGGGCTACCGTGGCATCGGCGAGAACTCGCGAGTCAGCGCGCTCGACGACGACGACGAGAACGGTCATGCCAACGGACGTGATAGCTACGGAGACGACGACGACGGCATTGCCATGATCACACAGGACATTGGCCACGGCGAAGACCACGAGGAGTTTGAATTCAGTGAAGTCATGATCCACCAAGTCATTCACACCATCGGTAAGTCTTCCACCTCCATCCCATACTACATCCACTAACACCGTCTTCCAGAATTCTGCCTCAACTGTGTCTCCCACACAGCTTCCTACCTCCGTCTCTGGGCCCTCTCCCTCGCCCACCAACGTCTCTCCATCGTCCTCTGGGAAATGACCATGAAGAACGCCTTCGCTTTTACCGGCGTCGGCGGCGCCTTCATCATGGTCTTTGTCTTTTACTTCTGGTTCGCACTCACGGTTGCTGTGCTGTGTGTCATGGAGGGTACGAGTGCCATGTTGCATTCGCTGCGTCTGCACTGGGTCGAGGCTATGAGCAAGCATTTTATTGGTGACGGTGTGGCGTTTGAACCGTTTAGCTTCAAGCAGTTGCTTGAGGATGAGCCTGTAGAGTAGTTTGCTGTTTTGTTTTTTGCGATGTCCTTTTCCTTTTGTTTTTCTGGGTTAGTTAGGCGGTGCGGCTGTAGGAATATGATGAGAGTAATTTTGCATGTCTGTATATAGGAATGGATATTTTTACTCCGTATTACCTCGTGTCGCTGAACTTGAACATTAGACTAATTCGGTCCATGTGGTTTGGAAGAGACATGGTGTACCGGAAGTATTCGGTTTGTCAAGAAATTCTGCTTGGACAGCACACCACTCTGAAACTTGAATCAACTCCTTTTTTGCGTGAATTCTCTCACGAACTGCTGATCGGAGAGTTTCGGGTCTTGAGTAAACCGTGTGCCTGGCCCGCGGACAGGAAATATGAGTGGGCCCACGATCGTAAGGCTGTTATTGTGGCTGGGTGAGGCATTATTCCCCTTGGGCGCCACGGAACCGCGGATCAGCGACCAGTGTTACAAGCCTCATATCGGTGATGACATTTGCAGCTGCAGCTGTGACATCTGGCGGTGCTGAGGCGTAAGCTGACAGGGGGCTGTTTGGCCACATCTTTGGAGGGGTCTGCATGGGCAGCAAGCATGACTGGCTTTCGATGTCGCTCGTCGTGCATGGCGTCTTCTCCACGCCAATGCCGACCTGCATATCCGTCCCATGTGGCATGGACTAAGTTCTTACATCGGCCTCGACGCGGTCGGCAGCACTAACTACCGTACGCTACGCATACCGTCAGGCGGTGAAGACAAGTTACCCAGGATCAGGATGAGGCTTTGTGATCTAGAGGCTAAAGGCACGCGCCGATCCGGGACGTAAGCCTCCATCATCTCCGTGAGGCAATTGATTAGGGATTAGGAATTGTCTGAGCAACGTCGCAAGGCATTGTCTGTGTTATCCCCGGTGGCTGAAGCAGGACGCGGAAGAAGGAATGTTACATACGGTATTGGGGCTAGCTACGAATAGAGTGAGTACATGTGCAGTTGTGGATGCGTGCATGCATGCGTTTGTGGGTGGATGCCCTACCTGGCGTGCGTGCGAGCGGCGTGCGAGAGGGCGACCACGACACGCGTGTTTACTTCGTACGGCGAGTTATAAAGGGCCGATGCGCCTTACCTACCCTACATACCCAAGTTATCTATCCCTTGAGCCCCTCATTTCTTGAACATTGCTCGCTCTGTTCTGTTGATACCACCTGCCGTCTTTCCTTCCACCCACCCCACTACGCAGATCTGCGCACCCACCCCTCCATCATCGAAAGCTAGGCAAAGCTTGATTTCGCGCAACCACCAAACTCTACACACACGATGTCTTTCTCGGCAGACAAAGTCAGTCATCTCAAGGGCGCGTTCTCCCAGAGGCGCTTCTCGAGTTCGAAGGATCCTAGCGAGAGTGGTACGTATTTACCTACCCGTTTGTTCCTCCCGCGATTGCCCATGCTACGTCATTCCTGAGGTGTACAACCCAATGGAAGTGGATCTGAGAAAATTGGGGGCGCCGCGCTGCTTAAGATGGGGGTTTGGGGAGCTTAGGCATTCCGATGTTACCGCTTGAGGTTCCTATCGGTCTTTTCTCCAACTTTTGCGTCTTTTTTGGAGAGTCTTGTTGGAGGTGCCGTTGTCTCTTTAGCCGCTTTTCTTATCGCACCTCGTTCCTTGCGTTGTTCCTTGCAGCCATGTCGCATACCAGACACGAATCAGGTCTCTATAAGCTGGGAGGATATATGCTAAGGTCGCGATTGCTAACACATCGTAGAACTCGGATCCTCCATCCATCGCCAATTCCGCCAGTCGCACGAAGGCCACAAGCCACACGCCGGTCTCGACGCTACACGCGCCTCCACAGGTGTCGTCTGGACATCCGAACAAGCCTATAAGCACGGTTTCCTCGAACACCCAGAAGAATGGGCAAACCTCGGTCAGGGTGCGCCTGAAGTCGACGACAGCATCAAAGGCTGCTTTGAGAGGCCGAAGGAGGTCGATATCAGTGCCCATGGCAGAGAATACGGCCCAACTGCCGGTATCAGGCCGCTGAGAGAGGCGGTCGCGACACTATACAATGAGCACCACCGCAAGTGGCGCAAGAGCCAGTACACATGGGAGAATGTGTGTATTGTGCCTGGTGGACGTGCGGGTTTGATCCGTATTGCTGCTGTGTTGGGTAACTGCTACTTGGGCTTCTTCATTCCTGGTATGTTTAGATTGGAATCGCGGGTTGTGGCTGGTGCTAACGAGATTAGACTACACTGCGTACAACGAGATGTTGTCGCTCTTCCGTAACATCGCTGCTATTCCCGTTCCCCTAGGCGAGGCCGATCAGTACCACATGTCTCCCGACAAGATTGCTGAGGAAATCGCTCGCGGTACCTCTGTTATTCTCACATCGAACCCGAGGAACCCGACTGGCCAGATGGTGAGTAGCCGTTTTTACAAACTGTTGTGAGGTATACACTGACGTTGTACTAGGTCACCAACCCCGAACTCGCACAAATCCAGAACATCTGCCGAGACCGCGCAACCCTGATCATGGACGAGTTCTACTGCGGATACAACTACACCACCAACTGCGACGGCACCGTCATCTCGGCCGCCGACAACGTCGAAGACGTAGACGAGGACGACGTACTCATCATCGATGGACTCACCAAGCGCTTCCGCCTCCCCGGCTGGCGTGTAGCATGGGTCATCGGCCCCAAGGAATTCATCCAAGCCATCGGCTCCTGCGGTTCCTACCTCGACGGTGGCTGCAACGTGCCCTTCCAAGAAGCCGCCGTAGAAATGCTCTCACCACCCCGCGTCCGCAACGAAATGCGCGCTCTGCAAATGCACTTCCGCACCAAGCGCGACTTCGTCATTGGCCGTCTCCAGGAAATCGGCTTCAAGTTCCCGTACATGCCCAACTCGACCTTCTACCTCTGGCTCGATCTGTCGAACTTGCCCGAAGGTATCAACGACGGTTTGAACTTCTTCCAGGCTTGTCTCGAGGAGAAGGTCATTGTTGTGCCTGGTATTTTCTTCGATTTGAACCCTAGCCGTCGCAGGGATCTGTTTGATTCACCGTGCCATCACTTTGTTAGGTTGAGCTACGGACCGAGGATGGATGTTTTGGAGAAGGGACTGGATTCTATTGAGAGGATTGTGAAGAAGTAAGTCTACACCGAGACGTAGGATTGCGGGACTATGCTAACAATCGATAGGTACAGGGAAGAGCCCCAGAGGCATCGGGCTGTGGCGCACAGGCCGCGTGGTACTGGAGCACCCAACTAGATGTCCGTTGGAGGCGACATGCGTAGGTTGGACGATGTGTGGATTAGGAAGCCGATGTCGACTTCAATACAACTTACCGTCTTCACTTTGCATTTATCTTGTGAGTATGTGTGCTGCTAATCTGCTAATCTGCTACTTTGGTGGGGTTTCCTTCTCCCTCTTCTGACATTGATGAATACCGCAACCCGCAGTCCGGTCAACACTCATGAGAACAGCTGTTTCAGCAGCAACGAATCAAAAGAATGAGAGAGTCCTTATGTCAGGCGTTGGCTTACTTGCGCTCCGTCTCTTGGCGAGGCTATGTGGGGGTCAGCACTATACCTCAACGCGAATCGCTGAGGCTAGAGGGGTAATACTGCATGACTTCGCCTCCTTGACGCCGGTTTCATTGGCCTAGGTTTCTCACAACTGTGAATGCTGTGGCACTCCCGGCGGATTGGTTACATTAAAGTGTTGTTGTTATCGGACAACATGCAACGAGCTTTAGCCGGTAATTCGGGGGCATCATCGGTGTCCGCCCCAATCCATGTTTATCATTCTCTTTTACTATTACACGGCCTTTGATCTCGTTCTTCATATTCTGTTCGGTCTCTATGCGAACCACCGACTTTCAGGAGCGAAGATGGCCACTATTCACACATCCATCTTTACGAGTTCGAACGAGTGGAGCATCAGAGTGCCTCCCAATTTAGCTGCACTGACAACGTTCTTCGAGCCTCCGGCCGGATGCTCAAACAAATGGACGATCCGATCAGAGGATGGAGGGACTGTTAAGAGCGGATGGGATGATTCTTCGGACAGAGGCGTGCCAACCGACTACTACGCACGTTGTAGCCCCTACAATCTCACAACTGCACAGTACAGTCCCGGGATGTGTTCGTCTGGTCAGGCTGTATTGAACATCACCGAAGCTCGGTTCAAAAGCTCCACGCTTTGGTGGGGAACATGCTGCGATAGGTTGCCATTCCCCTATCTGAAGACTATCGAGTTCAGACAATGCTTACATTTACTACCAGGGACATGACAGTTCCTCAATATGACGGAGCCTGCGCAAAGGCGATTACATCATCTATGATGGTTCTTACACCATTCACGAGTGTAATGAGCGAAACCATTCTTTGTGATTTTGAGCACTCCAATTCCTGGTTTTCCACCTTCACTGTGTCTGCTCTGGATATGACACTAGAAGTATGCGAAGTGCTTCATGAGAATATCCAACAGACAGAGATCATCACTTTTAGGCGACCGACTGCGATCTCCTCTGGTTCAGCATACGCAAAGCCATTCATAGTCTATTGGCAATCTCGCGATCTATCTCTATTCCCTACGGATTACGCATCGTCACTAGCATCAGTAATCAAAGTGCCTTTCGACAGTGCAACTTCAGCGCTGTCGAACGATACAAATCCAACATCAACACCTTCACCCGCCAACTCCAATAGCAAACGCCCCAGTCTGAACCCTGGAGCAATAGCCGGAATAGCTATCGGAATTGGCGCATTGATCATAGCCGGTATCGTTGTCCTCCTGTATCTTTGGCGAAGACGAAAGCAACGAGAACGTCTACAGCACCCGGACGTGCCGGAGATGGAAGGAAGCTCAAGAGGGCTGAAGCGCTTCATGGGTGGGAAGTGGAGAGCTGAGACGGACGGAACTTCACAGCCGGTAGAAGCTGGATCAACAAGCGTGAGGATTATTCCGGGGCCGCCGGTCGAACTGGATGGTACGCAGAGGGAAAGAGATTCGCAATCGCATACATAGGTATTGAAAAGCAGGGATGCGGTACACGCGACGCAGATTGACAGATTGGGAACGATTGCGCGAAAGCTTTTACGATTATGCTTCACGAATGAGAAGCGATGACCGTCGACTGGACACCTTACAAACGAGAGAATACATCTTCCACTCAAACAGGGCCCGGTTTCGTTTCGCGCTCGTCATCGACGTCTGGAGGTTTTCATGGTGCACAGCCTGGAGGGGCTCTCGTTAGACTTTATCGACACAGCAGCCTGGCAGTGTAGCATCCCTCAGCCTCATGCAATCACTTAGCCACTGCTGCTGCTATATCTTGGGCAATTGCGGCTGTGCTTCGTTGATTGGCCACTTCTCTTCTGTTTGGCACTAGTCAATATCCACTCTATTTCCGGAATGCGCATCTCCATCCCCCTGCATCGCAACCTCTAACATCTGTCGTGCTCCCATCTACCATCGACTTTGCCTGGATAGGCCTGCTCTATGATGTGGGTAAAGAGAATAAGGCGTCCAGTTCGGCGTTCAGTCGCATCCATGGGCCTACGACTAATGACTTAGATGATCTCGCAGCTTGTTACCGGTTTCCGATACGGTGTGGGGGCCAGCCTTGTGATGCGGCAGGGCTGTTAGGTGTTACTCTGTGGCTTCGGGCGGGACAGCGCGACACCGCTGATAGGGTCCGCTCCGCCTGACAAGGCTTGCTTGTGTTAGTAGGCTGGTTATGAGAGGTCGCCGTTCATCTGGTGGCTGCAGGCGGGCCACCGGTCAGCCATGTCGGAAGATTGGTGGCCGCCCCGCAACCTTCAAGTCGCCGATGTCTCAACTACTATGCGCTCGATTTCGAGTTCATAGTTCCCGTGCTCCCAAGCCCTTTCTCCTGAAACGTTTTTTCTTGCGCTCAGTCCGACTTCCCATCAACATCAAGCATGGTGGTATCCAGCATAGCCATTGTTACGGACCTTGCGCAATGGAGCAGTTCAGGTCCATCTGGCGATCCTCCCCCTCTGACGACTAGATATGATCCTAGCCCGGGATGCGCGACTCAATGGATACACAATCCTGTCAATACCACCAACATCCGAAGCGGAGACAATAACCTTGTCTGGCAATCCACAAACGGAAACCCGGGTGGTCGGACGGGTATCGCAAGCCTTCTATCAGCGAACTACTGGAAGTCTTGCCGCCCTTTCCTCCAGCCGATAGATCAGCCTTATTACAGCCCGGGAATATGTACAAGCCAACAAACGATAGCTGGTATCGAGGAGCAGCGCTTTGGCAGCTCGCGAAGGTGGAAAGGATGGTGTTGCGACAGGTTGTTTGCCCACGGCTGAATCCGAATCTCTAAACCCGGGCTTACGTATCCACCAGGGGAATGTCCATGACAGTTCTTGGACAGGACTGCGAAGGCGAATTTTCGACTCCTAGGACTGCGCTCGCAAATTTCACGACGACGATTATAGACCAGTGGGATAGGACTCAAACCGTCTCTGGCATTGACACAGCAACGAGGTTTTGTACAAGGTCAGGCGGTTCCCAGACTTGCGCAGATCAGACGACGCTGCAGAGGCCGACTGTGTTATCTTCTGGTATGGCTTTTGCTACTCCCTTCGGGGTGTATTGGGAAGAGAAGGATTTGTCGAACTTTCCTACCGAGTATGCTTCGTCACTCGCGTCCCTAATTGACACTACATTTGGAGGCAACAATACGACTGCAGATCCATCGCCGGACTCAAAAGATGATGGCTTAAGTCCTGGCGCTATAGCGGGCATAGCCGTCGGGATAGGCCTATTCGTTATTATCGGTGTCGTCAGCCTCTTGTTCTTGAGGCGAAGGAAAAAGCAGCAGAGAAAACGTCTTCAGCAGCCGAACGAGGTGGAGATGGATGGAAACTCGCAAGGGTTCATGCACCCTGTGGATACTAAATGGAGGGCTGAGGCGGATGGAAGGTCGGTGCCCGTCGAAGCTGGGACGGGAGGTGTGGTGCCGCGGTCGCCGGTGGAGTTGGACAGCACGCAGCGGGAGAGAGACGGTTGAGGATACGGAAAAGAGAAGGGCGCTTTCATGATGGCAATTGAGCGATGCCTATCGTTCTCTTGAGTCACTGTTGCTTGCATACCCGTCGTGCATGCAACAGGACTGCAGGTACCCTATTATGGCATCGATCACCACACAAGGCGCACAGGGTATCGTCTATACTCGTTTGTGGAACTAAACAATGCATACCCTTGCTCGTCTCATGCGATTCTGCGCTCGCGAAGTGCATTGCAACGAATTCGAACTGCAAAACCTACAAGCTTCCGAAGTAGCCAACTCGGGTACTGTATTTTTACATTTTGTCTAGTAAAAACTGAGGACAAAGTACAGGGAAACATTGGATCGGCCCGTCGTGTAGTACAGGCTGCAGCTCCTGCATGGAGTTCACATATACGCGCCGACAGCTACGCCGCATATTGCGGCGTAGCAACGCTACCAATCAAAAAACAGTTCGATGCTTGTCGTTTCTCCACATTTGAAACCAAGTTTCGTATCGCTGGCCAAAACCTTCGCGTTCTCTTTTGCCCCGCACATACTGCACTGTCTTCTTTTCTCTACCAATTCCACTTATCATGAATTCATCAGTTGCTACTGTCACCTTGCAGTCAAATTCCTTGTACAGCGACATCAGCCCGACGTCTTTACCGCCGCTTGTGACTGTATTCACTCCTCCAGCGTCATGCTCGACACGCTGGATGTACCTCTCGGGTGGTGACAATGAACAACTCTTTAGTGGAATAGACGTGTCGATCAGCTTTCCTGCAGCTTTCGACTCATCTTATTACTCAGATTGTAATCCGTACGGGACAACACCGGTGTATAGCCCAGGAATGTGCGGCCATGGCCAAACCCTCGCCAGAATATGGGAACTCCATCTCGGGGATGACCTCTATTGGCAGGGAGGTTGTTGCAACGAGTAAGCTATATAATACTGTCCCATGTGAATCACTCATTTAACTATATTTTAGCGACATGATCAGCGATCCTTCAGTGCGGATGTGCAAAAAAACCGTGTCGGAAACCACAACTGTGCTTGCTCGGTTCAACACCACGTGGGTCGATAGCTCTGGACAGACCTCCACGTTTCTCCATGTCTTCGACAAAAACACGGTGTTGTGCAGCACCGGGGGATGCACGACCGTTCCTCTAAAGAGTGAGACGGTGATTTCCTCAGCTGTAGCTTTCGCTTCGCCGACCTTCGTCTACTGGCATTCTAGCGACCTTGCGTTCTTCCCTGAGGATTACGCATCTTCTCTTGCAGCCGTGATGAGTGTTCCATTTGGCAACCCTGCTACACCCTCCTCGCTGCTATCGACCACGCTGTCGTCAACCGATTCCTCTTCAGTGCCGCCAAGGGCCTCGCCAAGTCCAAATTCGGGGCTAAGTCCAGGCGCCAAAGCCGGCATCGGGGTTGGAGTTTGCGTCTCTGTCATAAGTGGTGTCGTCTTCCTGTTGTTTTTATGGCGAAGGCGGAAACGACAACGACAACAACAGAAGGATACACAGCAACAGGAGCAGGAGCAAGAGACATCCGCTCAGATTGGGGTCGCAGAGATAGATGGAGATGCGCGCGACTCAAAACGCTTTGTAGGTGGCCATTGGAGGGCTGAGACCGATGGAACGTCGGCTCCAGTCGAGGCTGGGTCGACGAGTGTGCACATCATATCTGGACCGCCAGTGGAACTAGATGCCACCCATGCAAGAGATGGGGGTTAGGCCAAGAAAATCCATGTAGGATGTTACACAGGAATGAATGAGACTCGGGAGGAGCGAGAAGTAGAAGCAGAGCTCATTGAGAAAAGCACCTGAGCAGACTTGCTGATGTTCCCGGAATAACCACGACACGGTCAGTCACAAAGTATGAGAGCACCATGATGAGGGGAAAGCAGAAACAATGATGCGATAGTGTAATGTCGAAACCAATATGAATGTTAGGTACATATGGCCTGTTCACAAAGTATAGCGGAAAAGAAGGCCGGGCCCGTTCGCGACACCCTCCAAACCGACCGCTTGGTCAGACTTGCGATTCAGCTTCTGTAGCCAGAAGCGCAGCACCAATGACGCAGTCGCGCAGCAAAGTAACGCTACTGTCAAGACGATACAGCCCATGCGGTAAAGGCTAAATCGCTGAGTTAGTGACTGTTGATCTGGAACATGACATGAGACTTACGGTGCGCTCCACGCGGGATATAGGTAAGCAGTGGCGATGTTTGTCGCATTTGACACAGCCGTCGCCAATGCCAGTGTAACAGCCCTCTTCGCCTTTGGTCGTGCGACTGTCGCAGAGACCCAAGGCAAGATAAGCTGGAAGGCAGAAAAAGATCCCATGGCCTGCAGGAACATGGCGAAGTAGCGAGGGCCAGTCTGGTATGTTGACATGGAGATGATCTGACCAACCGCGGAAATGACGCATGCGGCAACAATATGGAAGCAATGCTCGCCGGAGCGCCCAGAGTGCCACGAATTCGCGACCGAGAAGATGAAGGCTAGGAAGTAAGGCGGCGCTGTGAGTAAGAGCGTTTCAACGCGGGGGAAGCCGAGTGTCTGGACGATGGATGGGAAGAAGTAGGTGAAGCTCATGGATACGACGGCGCATGTCTGGATGAAGACGAGTAATGGCTAGAGGTGGCATTCGACATTAGCAACGCGTACTGGTTTACGGATTTCGATTCTCGACACGCAATGATAAGATGAGAGAGATACGTACCACTTTCGGATCGGAGAAAGCCTGTTTCAGTCCGACGAAGACCGATTCATTCACTTCATCTGCCACACCATCATTCTCGCGGTCAAGTCGCCACTGCGCCATAGCAGTCTCTTCGAGCGATAGGAAGGAGGTGTTCGAAGGATAATTCGGAAGAAGCGCATATCCAGCAAAGGCCATAACGATCGTCAGAGCCCCCTCTAGAATGAAGATCCAGCGCCAAGATGGGTAGCCACCAAGACCCTCCATGCCGTCGACGATACCCGCTGCGATCAATCCACCAAAGGCTGACGATAGAGTGTATCCAGAATAGAATGTGGCGATACGACTTGGTAGTTCTTTCCGCGTGTACCAGCACGAAAGGAAGAAGATACACCCAGGAAAGTACGGTGCTTCCGTTACACCGACCAGGAATCTCAGTGCGACTAGTCCAGCGTGGTTCTGAACGAATCCTGTAGCGCCAGACACGATCCCCCAGATAATGACGACCGTTGGCAGGTACAGCCTAGGCTTGAAGATGGAAAGAAGCATGTTTGACGGAATCATCATGGAGATGTAACCAGCCCACAAAACCATAACTGCTGTCTGGTACTCGACATCGTCGATACCCAGTGTAGCTTCCAGACCTCCGAGGCGTGCGTTGGCGATAGCATTCCGATCAAGGACGTTGAGCAAGAAGAGGACGATCAAGATTGGTAGGGCTCTGAAGTCGATCTTTCGTACAAGTTTCTTCTCGAGAGCGGTAAGTTGCTCAGGCGTGTGGTTTCGCAGGATCTCGGGGACGGAGTTGTGAGATTCGTTTGTAGCTTCGATGTATTCGCATGCTACATCCTTCTCTAGGGAGTGCTTTTCGACGTCCATGGTGATGGATTGGAAGAGGCTTCGCGGTCGTGAAGGCTGGGAGAGTAGTCAGAGGGCGGGAGCGTAACTGACGCTACCTACCCCACGAATCTGGGGTAGACTACAATTTATATTCCCACCTTGACCCATATAGTCACGTCGTCGTCTTACCTGCTGGTGTTGGCTAGCTTAGTGTGGGATGAGATGCGGGGGTTCCCGCATCTAGCTATGTCTCCCGGCCGGGTAAGGTCGTCCATGCAAGTCGCACATGCATAGCAGTTGTAGTGGCCAGCCAAGCCTGGTGATCACGGCATTTTGGCCGAGACATACTGGGCTGTTGCTTGCATGCTAAAGTATCGGTCTTTGAGCGAGTTGGCAATGATCTGGATGAGAGATGAGGGGAGGACCGGGGATGCGCCGATCACGGTGCTTTATGTATAGCCGAACAGGGTCGTGATGGAACGTGCCGACGGGCAGCATGTGCATTCAGTCGCCGGCAGTGCGTAAGGCTGTACTGCATACGATACGGGTGTCAACACAGAACAAGATAGTTTGTGTAAGATAGTAGTGACTCGATTATTGGAACGCGAAAGAAAGACCCCTGGCATGTATCTTTGCAGACCTAATAGTCTCTACGCGATGATTTGAATGCCATAAGAGAGCGCTGCTAGAAACGGTAGCATAGCGACTGTGTTGATTTTCCAAATGAATCGTGGTTCGTCATATATTATGCTGCGACTTCTACAGTATTGACATGTACAGTCTCAATCTTCTGGCTCGCCTGCCCGGTCCCCTTCACACTTTGTTTCGGTGCAAAAGCCTCCACATAATCTCGAACGATCTGGTCAAACCCGGTATCTCTCACGAACCCAAGATCCAGAGCCTTAGTGTTGTCGAACTCAGCAGGCCATGAGTATAGAATCTTCTTGCACGTCGGTTCGTCCTTCATCTCAAGCAGCTCAAGCTTGTCGCTACCTCCGACCCTCGCAAGGGAGTCCATCATATCCTGCACCGAGACGCCGATACCAGGGAAGTTGAGGCAGCGATCAAACTTGGCTAAGCGGTTGATGTCGAAGTCTGTAGCGGCGTAGACGAGATTTTGGACTAGAATGCGAGGAGAACATAGCCAATGTCGCCATTGCTTGTCCTCTAGTGGAATGACACACTTGATGCCGTTCATCGGTTCGCGGATCATACCGCTGATGAAAGAACTTGCTGCAGCGGTGGGCTTCCCTGGCCGTACTGAGACGGTAGGGAAGCGAAGTGAGATGCCGTCGATGAAGCCACGTCGTGTGTACTCAGTGATGAGGTACTCGCACATCATCTTCTCCGCACCGTAGCTCGTCTCCGGCGTTGGCATCTGAGATTCCGTGACGGGTAATGTGACGGAGTTGTTGTATACTGCCTGACTTGATGCGTATATTACTCTCGCTCCTGGGCATGTTTTCCGGATAGATTCGAGTAGTGCGCGAGTAGCATCGAAGTTTGCTCTCATGCCCAGCTCGAAATCGGCTTCTGCGCCTGATGACATGATGCCATGGAAGACATAGACGGCCTCTATGTCTTTGGTAACGACTGCATCTGCTTCTGTACACAAGTCCGCCTTGATGGCTTGTGCTCGTGTTGAGGATCGCGCATCTGATGGGATGGGTGGTTCGATGATGTCGGTGAGGATGAGTGAATGTGCTGCCTTCTCGTCGTCGAGCAGTTTCTTCGCTACGAGTTGGCCGATGAAGCCGGCGGCTCCTGTGATAAGAATGCGCATTGTGATTTTGATGAACTGGGATAGTGTGAGATGACATGCGGCTCTGCCAAACAAACTTTACTCATATACGAATCACGCTTCGCAACCATCGGAGCGGTGCTTCGGCCGACTGTATGCCCTTATGATGCAGGCATGTTGCTCGCGACACCTTCTCCCCTCGGTTCATTGTATCCGTCATGATTAGACGCTTGATAGCGTTGGTGGTGTCGGCCGCGGTTGCGGTTGCCAGAGGCTCGTCGCTGCCAGCGAGCCATCGGAGTTTCGCCGGGCCCACTTCTCCGCAGTCACGTCGGCAGATCGACTAGCGAGGTGGCTGCCGCGCCAATTGACAGCCTCGCGAATAGTACATACGTTCCGAAGTTATTTGCATGTTTAGTCCGATCAAATTGTCGCGAACTATTGTTGCACGTTGACAAAATGGAGGACAGACCCGTTTCCGTAGAAGAGATCAAGAAGCATGCCAGTGAACAAGACTGTTGGATAGTGGTTGATGATGTGGTCTGGGACATAACAGAGTTCATACCGAGCCATCCTGGTGGCAATGAGAGTGAGTGCATTCAATTCTGTTACTCAAGTCGAGAGTCATGCTGTGTTTGGGGGTACCTAGAAGAACTAAACTTTCTTGCCAACCCCTTCTTGGGGTCCTCACTACAACACAGCCAGGTCTAGACAGAATCTTTCTGAATAGGCTACCGCTGACAATAACCCAGTAATTACCAAACACGCCGGTCTCGACGCGTCCCTAACCTACAACTCCGTCCACTCACCCACTTTGATTAAGAAGACTCTCGCTCCAGGCAAACGCATCGGCAAAGTGTCCTCCTCAACACCCTCCTACGACCTCCTAAAACCACCCCCAACAGAATCCGCCCAACCGGCCCTATCAATTGCCTCAAAGCCGCCTCTCAGCAGTTTGATAAACAGCTACGACTTCGAAGCCGTCGCCGAGAAAGTTCTGGGTAAGAAAGCATGGGCCTTCTACTCCAGCGGCGCCACAAACCTGGTGACGCGAGACGCAAACAAGAGCATGTTTGATCGGATATGGTTTCGACCGAGACTACTGAGGAACATCCGGCATGTGGATACGAGAACGAAGATGTTAGGGCAGAGCGTGGAATTGCCGTTTTTTGTTAGTCCGGCTGCGATGGCGCGGTTGGCGCATCCGGAGGGGGAGAAGGCGTTGGCGAGGGGGTGTGAGGGGAGGGGGGTTGCGCAGTGTGTATGTTGACTCGTTCCTTGGTTTATGGGTTGAAAGATGGGAAGGTGAGAAAGATGGTGTGCTAACATGATCTGCAGATCTCAACAAATGCATCCTTCACCATGCAAGAAATTACGGGGAGTGTGAAAAAGGATTCCATACCCTTCTTCTTCCAACTCTACGTCAACAAAGACCGAAAAGCATCTGAAACTCTCCTAAAAGACGCGGAGAAGAATGGGATCAAGGGTGTGTGGTTCACTATCGACGGACCCGTGCAGGGGAAACGAGGTATGTCCTACCTCATCCTACCAAACCCTCCTCTCTGCATCTCCAGCACCCGGAGACTGATGCTAACTCCGTATCACAGAAGGCGACGAGCGCGTAAAAGTCGAATCCGCAACCTTCGCCAAAGCCGCCATCAGCGGTGCGGCCGCCACAAACGACAAGAAAGGCGGTGGCCTCGGTCGCACCATGGGCGGCTACATAGACGACACGTTTAACTGGGACGATATCGCTTGGCTGCGCAAAGCAACTAAACTACCCATCGTAGCGAAGGGGGTACAGACAGTTGAAGACGCGGTGCTAGCTGTGAAATACGGCTTAGATGGTATAGTGATAACGAACCACGGAGGTAGGAATCTGGATACGTATGTTCTCTTAACCTTCCCTTTCCAAATCCACAAAATGGTAGAGTGGTTTGCTAACAAAGAACAACAGTTCCCCACCCTCCCTCCTAACCCTCCTCGAAATCCGGCGCCACGCCCCCGAAGTCTTCTCCAGCCTAGAAGTCTACCTGGACTGCGGTATCCGGCGCGGAACCGACATAGTAAAAGCGCTGTGTCTGGGCGCTAAGGCCGTGGGAATGGGTCGGCCGTTTTTGTATTCGCTGACGTATGGGCAAGAAGGTGTGGAACACTTCATCGACATTATGAAAGATGAGCTAGAAACGACGATGAGGTTGCTGGGTATAACGTCGTTGGAGCAGTGCCATCCGAGGTATCTCAACTTGGGGGATGTGGAACATCTGATTCCGAGGGATTTGGAGGGCGGGTTGCCGGAGATACCAGGGAAGGGTGTGAGGGCGAGGTTGTAAAGTTTGTGTGTGTTGGAGAACGGAGTGTTGATTCTAACTCTGGCTTATTCAAAGTCGCCCGACTCGAGTGCCCTTTTGTCAGCTCTCTCCTCCTGCATCTTCCTCTCCCTCCTAAACTTCTGATCCAACCCCGCAGCCTTCAGCACCGCAAACCTCACGTGATCAACGCCCAACCTCTTCCCTTCCACCAGCGTCTCCGCACTCACACCTAGAATCTCTCCTAGCGCACCGCCTCCGACCGGCGGCTGGATGTCGTACTTCAACTTCTCCATCGCTTTTCTAAGTTCCTCGGGGCTACCTTTAGGAGACAAGCGACGCAGCACTTTCCCATCATGGCGTTTGATCTCTTTGGCAGCGGGAATGTACAGTTTGTCTAGCTTGGAGAGGATGACTTGGTGACTTACACCAGCCAAACGCAGCGAGGCGAGCAGGGAGCGGTCTTTATCTTTGATACCGTGTTCGGCGTCGATCAAGAGGAAGACACGGCGGAGTTGCTTGCGGTTGGTGATGTACTTCATGATTTCCGTACCCCAGGATGCGAGTGAGCCTTCGCCATAGCCGGGCATGTCGACAATAGTAAGGCCGCCGAGACCGACGATCTTTTCGCGGTCTTGGCCTTGTTTCTTGATGGTTACGCCGTTGCCGGCGCCGAGACCGTAGAGGTTCATTGTTTTGGTGAAGCCTGGGGTGGATGAGGTACGCGCTAGTAATGCTTTGATATCGGCGTTTACGACGGCGTTGAGCAACGAGCTCTTGCCGACGTTGGAACGACCGACGAAAGCTACCTCGGGGACATCAGATTCGGGGAAAAGACGGAATTGAGCTATGCTCCTTAGTAACTTTGCGTTCCGGCCGTGGGTAGTGAAGAAGTGGTTTGCAGTTGTTTTCTGTGCAACCGTAGGGGGAAAGGTATCCCAGTACCAATTGAAGTCTTGCAATTTGTTGAGATTGAGCGAGAGCGAACT